ATTCTCCACTTTCAATCATCAGCCCACACAGCGCATCACGGTTACTCTTGTTTTGTTGAATCGCGTAGTCCCACCCAAGGCATAACGGTCCTTTTCTTTAAAGCGCGTGAGCCCATATAGCGTGCAGGAGTATCGCGATCGAACTTACCTTTAGTTTATTGCAAGCAACTTAAATACTCCCCAAACGGTCACTTGCTTCCTGAAGAGAAAATTTACATCATAGGGGAACTTGCAAAACAGAGTTCAAATGTATTCTTGCAAACAAAAGAAATACATCTGAGCTTAAATCTCCCGGGAAAAGCATTTCCAACAAATCTGCATAATTAAAGTCTCGTGGTCTAGAAGCGTAACCGTTAAACAACCCAATTAAACAACTAGTTTCCCCGAAAAAAAAACCTAATGCCTAGGCAAGATTCCGAAACACCTCCCTGACAGGACGGATGTTGTGGCAGTCGATGTTAAAGCAGTCGATGCAATTGTTATTGTTGAAGCAATTGAAGCTGTCGAAACGGCTTGAATCGCCGATGTTGTGGATGTTTAACTGGAAGAAACAGAAGTAGGACCCTGATCCAAAATAACAGTGGCTTGTCGAACATCGGAGACTGCTTGCGGGGTTAACTGTCGAGGACGCGATGGACCCGGTTCATCCATAGCGACTTTTTTATTAGCGTCCCGTTGCGAACTGACACCCTTGCATAATTAGTTTGGTCTTAAAAAATGCCAATGACATCATCCCGAGGGATCATGAATATTCAATGAGGTTTGGAAAGGTGAAGTGAGTTCTCACGTGTACATCTCATTAGCTAAACGCGACACATAAATCATCAGCGTATGTATTTGAGCCTGTTTGAATAGAATGCAAATGGAGATTTTCTGTTGAAAAAGCAAGCGGTATTTTGATAATTGAAACTTTTCGTTTGAGTGCTCTTGTTACGCCTTCGGGCACCAAAACGAAATTGTTTACAAGCTCAATCAATCGCACAGCTCAAGCTGTGTTTCTTTGGTTTCCTCTCCATTTGCCTTTCCACTGTCCCACCCTCATCATGTCACGTGAGTCCTGCCGATACACTCAACCTTCCTCAGGCCAAGCCGGATCAGCTTGGCTTATTTGTTCCCAAACTTAACTCACCCTGGGGACCAGTCAATGTTCATCCCCATGGGGGTTGTAGAGTGAAGGATTTTGGGGATCGCATGGTTTTCAAGGTAAAAAGAAAATTGGCAATTGGGAGGAGGGGATAATAAGAATATTATAGAACCTTAGGAAGATCATCTAAGATCCTCCAACCACCCCCTTCCCCCTCACCTCCCTCCCCCTCAAACCCCTCCCCCT